TCATGTGGATTTCTTGCATCAGGAAAACCATAATTGATCCAAGACTGCACAAAAGAAGCCCATACCTAATTATTCTATTCAATGGATTGTTTTCAGGAGGGGGAGGTGGCACCATGGGTTAAGTGTTTGTTTCACAATTATGAGGATCTAAGTTACAATACTCAGAACTCACATTAATAACAAAGAAAAATAAAAAGCCAGATGTGGTGGTGTAAATGCTGGGTATGCCCATGGATATCTGCAGTCCCAGTGCTGGGGAAATAGAGACAAGAGGATCCTTGCAGCCTCCTGGTCAACTAGTCTTGCTTAGTTGATGTATTTCAGATTCAAGGGGAGATCCTATCTCAAAAAATAAAGTTAAGCACAGTTGAGGAAGACTCTGGACACATCCTGGCCTCCACCTGCCCACACATGAATGTACATACAAGCACACACATATGTTTTCTTCTCTCCTTAAGCCATTCCTCTGTAAATAGCATATTAACACTCATCGAGGGAGCCTTAGACGCCACATGGTGCATCTTACTCATTACTAAAACTTTTGAACTTGGTCTTCTGCAGTGTGTGTATCTGGAGTGCAGATAAAATATTGTTCTTTAGCAGTTCATGAAGAAGTGGCTATGGGCTAATATTCCTCTCCCTTCTCTCATCTTCCTTTCCTCCTTCCCTTCTTTTTCTTGTCCCTCCTCTTTCTTTGCCCTCTTTTCCTATCTTCCTTCTACTTCTCCCCTGTCACACACACACACACACACACACACACACACATGCACGGATCTCAAGGACCCTATTTCTTTTGTGTGCATGCACATACACTTGCATGTGAGGGTCAGAGAACAACGCTGGGTGTTATTCCTAGGTACCTGCCACCATGCTTTCTCTCTCACTGGACTGGAGCTCTAAGTCGTCCAGGCTATTTGGATATGGAGCCCGGATATCCATCTGTCTCCACCTCCCCAACACTAGGGTCACAAGGGAGCACCACTGTGTCTGGACTTTTCCTCCTTTTTTGTCATGTAGATTCTGGGGGTACAGCTCAGGTCCTTAGCTCACAAGGCCAGCACTTGTACCTCTAAGGTGTCTCCCCAGCCTGAATTTGTACTTTTATATATTTTTCCTGTTAGCAATGTAAACTCAGAGGCATGCTTTGTTTATTTCTTTGCTTTGGTTTTGTTCTGTGATTTATCCCTGATGGTATAGTGCTAAAATAGTGTCCAAAATAGATCAAAACTTCAGTAAATGTTTGTCCAATAACTCAATATTTTAAATATAAGTAAGTAACAATATTTCATTCCTTCACTGGTGGAGCAGTTTTTTGTCAATAGAAAAGGAAAGAAATGTTTCCAAAGGCCAAAATTTGCAGTTAAAGTGTATATCATTTCCTTGACTATATGATTGTGCTGTGAATTAAGGCAAACCACATATTGTTTGTGATTCTCAGTGTCCTCATTTTCTCTTCTCTCCATTACTCCACAATGACTAAGAAATAAAGATGGGTTATCTGGAATGAAAAACAAAAAACAGAAACAAAAACATTGAGCTCTAGCTTTTATACACACATATTTAAATATGAATATATTTATATATTTTTCCTTTATTTGTATACAGTTAAAATAATATAACCCATCAGCTGTTCAGGTCACTTGAGTGTAGCCTGAAGAATTTAGGAGGAAGGCAATTTATCTGAAATTTACTTGAAACAGGGAGATATTTTTGTCATTTAGGGAAAGCCTTAAGAGAAGAGTACTAGCAATCATCCACATGAGGAATTCTAAGCAGGAAGATAGTACTTACTACAGGGCATGTAGAATTTAACTCAGATATGGTGGTGTGATGAAGGTGGACATTTTCAGCTCTCCTCGGTGAAGTCACACCTCAAAATACTGTGCTTTTCCTAAAGACCTTTCCCCCATTTTTCTCATGGCTATAGCACTGGGCTTCTGATTGTCTTCCTTATACCTGTTTGCTTCAAAGACTTCCAGGAGAAGTCAGATGTGTAGACAATTCAGAGGAAGTGAGCACTTTGTATATGTAGATAGTGATACATATATGAAAACAAGAGTTTTTCTATACAAAATCTTGCTTGTGTAAAAGTCCCTTATAATAATGTGCATAAACTGAAATTTGCAACTGCTTTAGAATTGCTGTTTGATTTGCTTTGGTGAAATATCTCTTGTAGCTCAGGCTGTCATCTGACTTATAACTAGCTGAAGACAGTGCTGAACTTTTGATCCTCTTGTCCCCACATCCCTACTGCTGGGATTACAGGCCTTCACCACTACACCTAGTTTATGTGTGTGGTGCTGGGAATCCAACCCACAGCTTCTTACATTCTTTTTTCTTTAACTAATTTTTTAAAATTTATTTTACGTACCAACCATAGTTTCCCCTCTCTCCTCTCATCCTGTTCCCTCTCCCAACCTTCTTTCTACCCCACCCCCCCCCACCCCCATGCACTTCTCAGAAAGGGTAAGGCCTCCCATGGGAGTCAACAAAGCATGGCATATCAAGAGAGACAAGACCAAGCTCCTTCCCCTTGCTTCAAGGCTGAGCGAGGCATCCCACCATAGGGAATAGCTTCCAAAAAGGCAATTCATGCTCCAGGGACACATCTTGGTCACACTGCTAGGGGCCCCACAAACAAACCAAGCTACACAACTATCACCTACATGCAGAGGGCTTAGGTCGGTCCCATGCAGGCTCCTTAGCTGTTGGTCTAGAGTCTATGAGCTTCCAGGACCTGGGTCATCTCTCTCTGTTGGTTTCCCCATCATGATCTTGACCTTGGCCCCTTGCTCATATAATCCTTCCTCCCTCTCTTCAACTTGACTCCTGGAGCTCAGACCAGTGCTTGGCTGTGGATCTCTGCATTTGCTTCCATCAATTATTGGATGAAGGTTCTATGATGACAATTATGCTAATAACCAATTTGATTAAAGGAGAAGGCCAGTTCAGGCACCCTCTCCACTATTGTTGGGAGTCTTAGATGGAGTCAGCCTTGTGGATTCCTGGTATTTCCCTGACACCAGGTTTCTCCCTTACCCCATAATGACCCCTCTATCAAGAGATCTTTTTCATTGCTCTCCCCTTCTGTCCCTCCCCCAGCTTGGCCATCCAGATTCCTCCTGTTCCCATCCCCCTTCTCCTCCCCTCTATCTCCCCCTCCCCGGCCCCCAGTTTACCCAGGACATTTCATCTATTTTCCCTTCCTAGGGTGATCTCTCTTGGGATCCTCCTTGTTACCTAGCTTCTCTGGGGCTGTTGATTGTAGTCTAGTTATCATTTTTATCCACTTATGAGTGAGTACATACTGTGTCTGTCTTTCTGGGTCTGGATTACCTCACTCAGGATGGCTTCTTGCACTCTAGGAAAGCAGAGCACTCTGTGCCCATTGAACAACATCCCCAGCCTCAGGAGTAAAATTTTACAACTTGGAAATGAGTAAAAGAGCCTGTAATTGTTGTTGCTGTTGTTGTTTTAAATTTTAAGTATCCGGCATTTGCCAAGCATAAGGAAGACAGCCAAAGGAAGTTAGGTTTGGTGCCTTCAGCTGATGCTGTCTAGGGCCTCCATATCTGTGCCTGCTCTTGTTTGGGACACACTATCATTTTCTGAATGGTAGCTACAAGCTACTGTGGCATTCACAATCATTAAAGACAACACCAAGATAATAATGAAATCAGGACCCTGAGCTGGGTTTTTCTTATTTTGTTTGTTTGATTTTGATGGTTTTGTTTTGTTTTGTTTTCTCCTCAGTGAATCATAATTCACTGAAGATCTCCAGGGTGTGGTCTTCACAGGCTCTTTTCCCTTAAGTCCAGGAACTTGAAAGTTTATGACTTCTCTTAGTCAGAGCACGAGGTTATTTTGCTTCTCCTATTGTTGAAATGACTCAGTGGGTCAGGATCCCTCTAACATGTGCTTATGTTCTGTTTCACCTTAATTTCCACCCTCTAGGATATCTACCAAAAAGACACAGGACTGGCTGATCTTGGTTCTTACTGTGGTGTGTTGGCCTGGGCAGTTTCAAAGGGAAATCATTCTATCCACATATATATGGAGGGGTGTGTGTGTGTGTGTGTGTGTGTGTGTGTGTGTGTGTGGTTTGCTTAAAAGCTGATTCAAAATTTAGAAAGAAGACCGAGAGAGTAATGTTGGGTGATTAAGGTGATGCTGAGGAACAGATGTAGGAAAATGACACACAAGAGTGAACGAGAATATACAGCTAATGTTTCTAGTTTTGACTCCATTGGAGTTTTTTTTTTCTTTTTCATGATGGATGTGTGCATTCATCTGTATATTGAAGTAGACCATCTTGTCATTCAAAAAGTATCCCAATATGTTATTCTTTTGAGGCAGTGCTTGTAAAAGTTCAGTTTCCTTTTTAATTCCATTGATTGTTGTTCAATAGCACTCAGCTATGACCAGTCACTGAAAACAATGCGGCACTGACCCTCTTAAAGTGACTTTTTAAAAGCTTTGTTTCTGAGGAAGGGGTTTCGTATGCTGAAAATTTCCCTTGATTTTGCCTAAAACTATGTCAAATCATTCTATTATGCATTATCTAAACTGTAAATTTTGCATTGTTACTCTTGAAAATAAAGTATAGTTTTAAATGTTTTTAAGCTGATATAACCAACTTAGTTGTAATATTGTCTAGTTTGTTATCAATTTGAGTTTATTTCCCTGACTCTTAATGCTGTCATTCATCTGTGTTTAACTATGTTCTTTTAATAAAAATACCTTTGTACATTCATAACTGTTTGTGTGCATAAGTATATATATTAAAACATACAGAGAAATGAGAGAGTTAAAGGAGAGAAGAGAAAATGGAAGCCATAAAGTAAAAATCAGGGGGTAGGGGAGACCATACATGTACACACACACACACACACACACACACACACACACACACACACACACACACACCACCACCACCACCATGAGCTCCTCTGTACTATTTCAGCTCATACTTCTGACTTATGAAACATCTTGTCTTTCAGATGGAGCCCCATTCACCTGGTGGATTGGGAGATCCAATGAAAGACACCCTTACTGGGGAGGTTCTGTTCCTGGAGTCCAGCAGTGTGGGTGTGGCCTAGAGGAGAGCTGCCTGGATGTTCGCCACTTTTGCAATTGTGATGCAGACACAGATGAATGGTAAGGAAAGTTTTAGGTTTTATACAACAGTGGGAGATATCTGATACACAGAATTGCCACTAAGAGAGAATGATGCGGATAACAAAAGCAATGGGAATTAGGACTGCATTAAAGAAAAAAAAAAAAAGGCCTGGGGCCTTAGAGATGTCTCAGCAATTAAGAGCAATGGCTGCTCCTCCAAAGGACCTGGATTTGTGTCCCAGCACCCATATGTTGGCTGACAACTATATTTAATTCCAAATGATTTGATGCTCGCTTCTGGCCTCTGTGAGCTCTGCACACACATGGCACACATGCATAAGAACAAGACACTCATATACAAAAAATAAAAATAAAAATGTAAAAGCCTATCTTTGTATTCAGGACTAACACTAAGGTTTGTGCCAACATTTTGTGTTCAGAACTTTCCACGCTAAGCAAGGAATGCAACGTAATATGTAATTTGCTATTTAGTTTTTCTTTTTCTCTTCACCCTCCATGTGTGCATGTGTGTGTGTGTGTATGTGTGTGTGTGTGTGTGTGTGTGTGTACGTTCTTACGTGTGTGTCTATGCATGTGTTTCTGCCTGTGTGTGGAAGCCAGAAAACAACTTCCACTGCTACCACCCACCTTGAGTCTTTGAAAGTATCTCTCACTGGCCCAGAACTAGCCAAGTAGTCTTGGTTGGCTGGAAATGCCTGCCTCTGCCTCTGCCTCTGCCTCTGCCTCTGCCTCCTAGTTCTGGGATTACAAGCACTTATCATCATTCCAGGCCTTTACATGTGGGTTCTGGGGATCAATTCAGGTCCTCCCACTTTAAGGCCAGCACTTTACCACCAAACCATCTCCCCAGATCTTGAGTTAGCTTTTGAAATACACACGTTAGGAAAGGACCTGGAGAAAAAGATGTTTAATTATATCGATGGTTTCTCTTTCTTTCGATGATGTTTTAGTGAATTTTCTACCATTGTTAAAGTGACCTTCAACATCAAATTAAAGTTTTTATATTACTTATAGATTTTGACTTAGTGATCATATAATTCTCACAATAATCATGATATTCCATAAGAATGTGTGCCTTGAGGTTGACAACTGTCAGGTACAGAACAGTTAAATGACTGTCTAATGTTATACACCTCTGTCAAATTCAAACCCAAGTCCATTAAACACTGCATGTCTAGTGCTCTCCTACACCAGCTCAGTCATGCGAGGTGATGTCTAAGTTCTCAAGTTTATTAGGTCTACATCATCTCCAACCTCCAGCAAGCTGTTTGGTTTTCACTTTACAGTTTTGAAAATGTGCATACAGCATGTCCATTTTTGAGTCCGGGCTGAATTACAGGCAGTTCTTGATTTTTAATGTTTGCAGTATTTCTCTCTCTCCTCATCAAATGCTTCTCAGTTATCATTGAAGATTCCTGTGATGGTTCTCTCAGACCAGTTACAGTTCCCTTTGCATAATGTATTATCTTTCACTGTTGAAATTGTTACTGGTAAGGACCAGTCCAGTGAAATTTGAGATCTAATCAAAACCTTGTTTTAGACCAGTAAGCTACGGTTGGGATCTGGTTCACTCAATAACGTGTCTCCACACAAGCAAGGTGTCCTGGATTAAATTCCCAGCCCCCTCATAACTAAGTTATTTAAACATCTGGGCATGGTGGCATGGTCTTAAATTCACAGCACGGGCAAGGTGGGGGCAGGTGTGTCCTTGGAGCACATTGGGGTGATTCCAGGTAAGAGACCATCCAAAAAAGAAACAAATAACTAACTAACTAAATGAAATAGATAGGCAGTACCTGGGGAATGGCAGCCAAATTTGTCCTCTGGGCTCCATATATATATGTGCAAATGTACATGTACTCCTGTACACACACACACACACACACACACACACACACACACACACACACACACTCAGGTACACAAATAATCTCAGAAAAAGGGTAAACATTGTCTGCATCTGCTTCTGTAAATATATAGACCATGAGTTCAGAATATCATAGAGCTGCTTGAGTACAGTGGTGAATTCCTTTAGATTCTTCCACCACTGCAAACTCTTCATGTGGAAAATGTCAGATAAAGTTGGCTGAAGGTCAGATGTCAACCTCTTTCTCCTTTGGTCTACCTCTTTACTTTGCAGTGAATTTTATTATAGCATTATAGAGACCTACACATAAATCTTCATGTCCTGGATGGAGAACAAATCTCTATGAACCACCAGCCTTCAATCTATCTGGTCCTGATGCAGTAGACATTTGATGAAAGTTTCAGGGAAATAAATTCAGAACATGTTTGGAGAGGGATATATTAATTGCTTTTCTTTATACATAAAAAAGAAATTTCAGGAAGAAGGTTCTATTTTGGCTCATAGTCTAAGAATGTAATCAATCACGACAGGGAAGTCATTGTGGCCTGAGCTTGAGGCAGCTGGTGACATTGTGTTCACAGTCAGGAAGCAGAGAACGATGAATACTGAGGCTCAGCTCACTTTCTCCTTTTTACTCAGTCTGGGACTTTGGTCTAGAATATGGCGCTGCCCACATTTAGAATAGGCCTTCCCACTTCAATTAACCCAGTCCAGACACTCCCTCACAAGCATGCCCAGAAGTTTTGTTTTATGTGACTCTAGATCCTATTAACAATCAAACGGAGCAATCAGATTAAGCATCATCTTCAGGTTTAGGAGAGTTGTGTGAAGTTTTTCTTTTCTTTTTCTTTTGGTAGTTGTGTTACAAAACAAACAAAAATAAAAAGAAGCCAACTAAAATCCTCTAATCCCAGGTGCTTAGTCAGATTCACTGATGAGTTTGAGTCATAAGTCCCTTCACTGTGTCTGGTATTAGACAATATTTGCAGATTTATAGGCTCAGAATAAAATGCCTCCACTTTATACTGTACAATTAGAGAAGCTGACACAAGGAGAAAATGCAAGGTGGAAACTGCCATTGGAAATGGAGTGTTTCTTCTTTGGTGTGTTTTTCCCGGAGTCACACTGCCTGTGTGTCCCTTCTCACAGTACAATTGTCAGCACTTAGTTGACTGCACCTCAACCGATGCTTCAAGTCAGCGTTGCACTGGGGACACCAGCTGCACCTCACTCACTGAAGGTGAAGCACTCCTGCACTTTCTCTAGAACATTCCACGGATCATGCCATCCACTCCCATCCCAGCCTCCCTCTCTGCTGACCTAATTATTAGTTCACTGACCTCTGAATCATTTATGAGCTGATTTACCTTCATAATCTACGTTGTGCTTACAGGGACTTACCAAAAGGCCTTTTCCCCACTCCTTTTGTGCCAGCACACTTGTATGTGTGCAGATGCACATGCACATGTATGCATGAGTATGTTTAGGACTGAAGTCAACATTCAGTGCTGTTCTTCAAGTGCTATCCACCTTAGTTTGACTGAAGCTCCTCTATCTAGGTAGGCCAGCTGGCCAGTGGTCCTTAGGGACCTACCTGTCTCTGCTTTGACAGAGAAGGATTATAATCATGTACTGCCATCCTAAGTTTAATTTTACCTGTGTTCTGGATATCAAACCCAGGTTTTCATGCTTGTGCAGCACTCAGTTGACTAATTGAGTCATTTTCTCAGCACTTGTGAGACCTTTTAGTACCATATAGATTAATACATATATCATAACTCCTTTTATTTCTTTATGGAATAAGCAACTTCTCTTAGGGTTATCAGAGTTTTTAGATACAAGTCTTGCTCAAAAACTGTCTTACTTTGCTCTCTAATGTTGTGTTGAAATACCCAAGGTAGGTTAGAGAATGAGAAGTTTATTCAGACTTAGAGTTCTAGAGGGATATGTGTGCATCATCGTCATGCGTGGCGGCAGGCAGGCTTGGTGACTGAAGCACAGGGCTGAAAGCTCACAACTTAAACTGCAAGCAGGGAGCTGGATGAGCAAAGTAGAAATGATGTGAAACTTCAAAACCTAAAATCTTGCCAACAGTGACATACTGCCTCCAACAAGACTACATCTCCTAAACCTACTCAAAGAGCACAAACAACTGGGAACCAAGTATTAAAATATCTGAGCCTATGGGGATGTTCTCATTCAAAGCCCCTTAACCAACCTACTAGGAGTCAAAGGAAAGGTACTGAAATTTCCTGTTAGGATGCTTTCTTTACCATGAGAATCCATGCTGAACAACCAATTACAAAGTCTAAGGGAGAAGAGGTCTAGAAGTTCCCATCCTTTCGATGAAGAAGAGGTTAAAATCTGGAGTACACTCTTTCAAGTTTCACTGGTGACTTGAGAACAATTTGTATTTTTTGGTGAACATTTTGGAGGACATGTTATTACAGGATTTCATTGAGTTAACTTTCCTATGGTGATGTCATAAATATCTTGTTATTTGAGCTAGGGTTCTAGTGACAGATCCAAGAGCCAATTCCATCCAAGTTTTACTAAGTGAATCAATGAGTTTACTGAACTTCCTTATACAGCACTGTGAGGGATTACTTATTGAAATATGACTGGCATCCAAACATCTGTGTCACCTCAAAGACCCACCCAATCATGAATGATAACCTCATGGAAACTGTATCCTGGAGGCTCCCCTTCAGCTGGCCTTCCACATCCTATATATTCCAGTATCTTCCAAGATAACTTTCAGATGGAGTAAGACAGGAAGGAGTAATATCTGGAATCCCAGGTGAGAGTACTTGACCCACCCACCTCTCCTTCTACTGGAGAGTATCTACAACTCCATAACAGACTTCCCAACTCTGTATTGTTCTGCTCAAGTAGTTGCCATGGCTATGGAGTTAAGACAATATTCACTCCAAGGACCATCTTATTATCCTCCCAATATCACAGTGTATGTTTCACTGCATGTGGTGTTGTTCATGTTAAGTGAATTGACTGAATACCACTCTGTGCCAGTCAGCCAAGAAAAAAGCAGAGAAAAGCCAGGTCATACATTCTCTGTCTCTGAAGCATCCATCAGACAGTGTGGAAAGTGCTCCTTAGTCACGAGTGTATCAATATGATACATTTGATAGCA